TGAAAGGCAGAAGTATTGGGGATAACATCCTCCTGGCTCAAGAACTTATACAAGATTTGGAGAAACCTTGCAGAGGGGGAAATGTCATTTTTAAGCTTAATCTAATGAAGGCTTATGACATGGTAAACTGGGATTTCATCATTGAATGTTCGAAGGCTAGGGGGTTTTCCAGGGAGTGCTGCAAGATGATTAAAAGATGGCTTGAAGATAACATAAACTCAATTTTTATAAATTGTAAAGCCCATGGTTTCTTTAAAGCCACCAGAGGGCTTAAACAAGGGGACCCTTTGTCCACCACCATTTTCATACTGGTGTTGGACTATTTCTCTAGACTGATGGAATGCAAGGAGAATAGGAAAAGCTTCAACTCTTATCACAATAGAGCTAGGATGGACATGAACCATCTGATCTATGCTGATGACATCCTGCTATTCACTATGGCTTCTAAGCCTACTACCAAGTGCATTATGGTGTGTCTTCAACATTTCTAACAGGTGTCAAGGCTAAAGGTAAACAAGGACAAATGTGAGCTCTTGATCAGCAAAAAAGCATCTCTACCAATCAAGCAATGGATGCATTCTTACACTGGTTTCTCTAGCCTGAGCCTCCCCTTCAAATATATGGCGTGGGATTCATCTTACCAGAGGAAGAACAAAATTTATCCAATATGATGAGGTTATTGATAAGATAACCTCTACTCTTCAGGGGTGGTCTAACTCCTTTTCGTCCAATGATGGTAGGATCACCCCACTGAAGAGCATTCTTACCTCTATACCTTTGTATGCTCTCCAAGTGGCTACAATGAAAAGAAGTACCTCTTTGATGCTGGAAGGAACTTTCAACAGATTTCTATGGGCTGAGAATAGAAAACAAGTCTGGGCTAGTTGGGAAAAAGTGGCTAAACCATGGGAGGCTGGTGGTTTAGGTTTTAAAGTCTTGCGCCAGATGCAACACTTTAGCCTGTGTCATTAGCCTGTGTAAGCTGTGGATTAAATTCATACAAAATGCAAGCTTATGGGCCAATTTTATGCAGGCCAAATACTGCAAGTTTGTCCACCCTAGGGAGGTCACTAGGAAGGTGGGAGACTCCAGAATTTTGGTTCAGATGCTTAAGGCCAGAGAAGACATTGATAAGCTGCTAAGATGGGAGTTGGGACAATGGAATATTAATTTTTGGAATGACAACTGGTGTTCTAATGACTTTTTAGAACCTTTGCAGGATGAAAAGGAGGGGGATTTATTGGTCAAGGACTATTGGGTTGGCAATGTTTGGTCTGAGGACTTCTTGAGGGGTTTACTTAAGGAGCAGTCTGTCAGCTACATCTCTACTATCCAATTTGACAGTAAAAATAAGGATCAATTTAATTTGATGAACAGGACCAGAGCTAGTATCTCAAAAGATATCCAGAACTATTTGTACAGCTGAGACACCTGCCAATGGAATGTTTTCTCTTGCCAAAAACACCTTATCCCTTCCATGCTGTTCTTTTCTTGGAGAGTTCTTAATAACCTTCTCCCCACTGATGATATTTTGAAACTTAAAGGCCTGAAAGATCCTTCTAGATGCCATCTATGCAAGCTTGATCATGACACAAGGGATCATTTATTCTTCAGGTGCAACTTTGCTAAGGAGGTTTGGAATAGATTGACTTCCCAAATGAACATCAACCT